TCCACACCACAAACCCTTCAAGATTCTTGTAAGTCAATTACAAATAGTTTCTAATGACTTTATTATCATTCATTAATTTCTGTCTCAATACCATTTTCACTGATTTCTGACAGTGCTGTCTCTTTCTTGCCATACACATGGGTGAGTTGTGTCCATGAGGATAACTTAAACTATAATCCAGTCTTCAAGCTTCTTGACCTCAACTCCAATGTTTACCTAATTGCTATTTTCATATTTTGTTGCCAGACTGACCTAATACAATATACTTCATATTATTTCACCTTTTAATATTTGTGAAAGACTTCCCTTTATAGTATTTGAGGTGTTATTTGTTAAACCACACATTCTAATTACTTGTCATTACACACTACTTGTAATTCCTTCAATTTAGCATGTTGCTTCATGCTTCCATGTCTTTGCTAATGATTTCTCTACCACAAATGCCACAGAATCACTCGATCAACATATGCTTGTTTTCCAACAGTAATTTTAACTCCAAAAATTGAGACAAAAGGGCATTACTCACATATTGTTGATTGAAGTCTAAAATGTTATAACCTTCCTAGAAAAGTAATTTGCCAATGTGTATCAAAAGCCTTGAAAATGTTCATACTCATTGGCCCAATAATTTATTTAGTTTCTTCCATTCAACAAGTATTTTAGTGCTTTCTATGACATTTTTCTAAGTGTTAGGGATACAGAAGTATTAAAGCAAACAAACTACCCCTTGTGAAGTTTATATTTGGATGGGGTGAAAGAGAAAAAAACAAATAAATATACAGTATCAACAAAAAATGAAAACTGGAATACAGAAAAATAGAGTACAGACTAGTGACAGAAAATAATAAAAGGGTAGGGGTAGAGGGTTGCAATTGCTTAAATTAAAATCATTGGGGTGATACTGGTTAATAAGATTATATAGATTTCAAGTGTAGATTACTATGATACATATCTGTATACTGCATTGTGCGCTCACCACCCAAAGTCAAATCATCTTCTGACACCATATACTTGGCTCTCTTAACCCTTTACTACCTCCCCAACCCCCTTCCCACTGGTAACCACAATACTTTTGTCTGTCTTTATGAACAAAGTTGTAATTTTTAATAAGAGATAAGATGGCCTTACTGAGGTGACATTTTAGCAAACACAAAGGACAAAGATTTGTGCAAAAAATATTCTCACTAAAGTCATGTAGAAAAAAATGTTTAATGATGAAGAGAAAATACTTATGACAAACTAAATGCAAAGATTAAGAAACAGAATTTTCTTTACAATTGATTTTAACTATGAAAATATGAAAGAGAGTTGTCTTGGGCTACCATTAGATAAGTTGTGACACATAATCACACAAAAAAATCTCATAATGTTTTAAGTAAATTTATGATTTTGTGTTAGACTGCATTCATAGCCGCCCTGGGCTGCATGTAGCTCATGGGCCACGGGCTAAACACCCATTTAAAAAAGCACTCTGTCCTTGTTTGCATAGATGGCCATCTTCAACAACAGACTGACTTCTAAGGATAAGAACTATAGGTTTTCAGTGAACTAATTTTCTTCTTTTTTTAAAAAAAGATTTTATTTATTTATTTTTAGAAGAGAGGGAGAGAAACATTAATGCGAGAATCATCGACTGGCTACCCCTCACGCGTGCCCCTACCAGGGACCCAACCCACAACTGAGGCATGTGCCCCGACTGGGAATGGAACAGGTAAACTTTCAGTTTACAGGACACACCAAGCCACACTGGTCAGGGCTGAATTTTTTTTCAATGAACCACTAGTGTTTAACAGTGCCTAGTACTCATATCTAAATTAAACAAGTATTCGCTGAAACATACTTATCAGGTACTGTGAGACTTTGGGACTTGACAGTGAACAAGAAAAAAAGATCTCTGCCCTCTGCCTCATGGAGCTTTTATTTTAATTAAAAAGCAGATTAAAAAAAGAAACTATCATGTATTAAGTGCTATGAAGCAAACTAGGATGGTGTGATAAAGAGAGAAAGAAATAGAGGGGGAAACTTTATAAAGGTAGTGGAGTGCCCTGAACCTCAAGTCAATAAATCAGAGTTCCAATCCCATTTTTACTACTTACCAAATAACTACATGTCACTTAACCTGAGGCTCAGTTTCTTCATAAATGAAATGGATTCAATAAACTCTTCAAAAAAATTGTAGAAATTCATTATAAGTGAAAATATCTATACCACTGGCTAACAGTCTCTTATTAATAAGAGGTAGTCCCTGCAAGTTAGCTGAATAAACAAAATGCTCTATAAATGAACAAAAGGAGCTCAGAAAAACACCTCACTGGAGAGGAAGGGTCGGAGAAAGCTTTCCAGAAGAGGTAGGCACTGAAGGATAAGTATTCTTATCTGCCTGAAGGACAAAGCAAAAAGCACGAGGATGTTGCCTTTACTACTCTAGAGCTAGCTCACACACAAAAGACACACAGTTCTATATTTTGGGGCCTGATTTTATTTTACATCTACCTCGATCTCACCACTATGTACCTTCTCCACAGAAAACAGTATCAATGGTGCCATCCTGCCATTCAGATTCAAAAGTTTAAGTCTGTGCTTTTTCACTACATCAGATACAGTTCATTTTCTTTTCCCAACATCTGTTCTCCCCCTATTCTTTCCCCATTAGTCCCATTCCTATCAACTGAATGTAAGCTGCTCTCATTAATATTGACAAAGCAGTATTTTTCACACTTCGTGTTGTGAGCCACTTATGGATGGGGAAATTAATTTGAGTATCTTTTTTTAATAAAAAGGAAAATAGAATAGAAATTAGTGCATCAGGTATAGTGAGCACAGTAATAGTAAGTCCCCTGTAGACTGGGTTTCAATTTAATTTGTGTGTGTTGAGTCACGACGCAAAATGTATTGCTATTGCTTTCTGTACAGTGTAGTAAAAAAAAAAAAAAAAAGTTTAAAAATAAAACAATGTCCTCCCCACCCCACCCCCGCCTCCCTGTGGGGTGGGTCAAACATCTCTGAAAAAATAATAGACTTTAAGTTTTCCCTAGTCAGAAAACACAAGTTCACATTCATTTAAACCATAAATAATGGTACATGCTGAACTTCAAGGGGCTCATAAAATCTCCTGTGGCCAGTCCAAGACCTCTAGGTTAAGAGTATTAAGGGTTCAGCTACTGCCAGAAGTGAGTTTCCTGAATGCATATTTAATATACACAATTTTGTGTACATGAAAGGCCCCTAGAAGGCAAGAACCACCTTTACGTATATTTGAAGTCCCAAGAAGGCAAAAACCATCTTTTTGTTAGCAACTTTGACAAGCAGCAATATCTAAAGATACTAAGAGAACTGAACTATATCCGTTTTCTTCTGCTTCAGACCATCAAAGAATAATGTTCCTGGTATTGTTTTCAATGCTTATTAAGCTCCTATAACATGTCCAGCACTGTGGACACAAAGGAGAGTTCCTTTATAGTCTGACTTACTCATCTTCTCATTTTATTTGCCATCACTCTGGAAAGGAGTCTCTCTCCTAATACACCATTCCAAGCTCCTCATCCATCATAATTCCAACTAATCTTTAAGACTCAGTTCAAATATATTTTAATCCAATCTTTCTAGGTGGGTCCGGAATTTATTGTGTATACTAAAAGTTGCTAACTAGGATGTACAGATTTAACTTCTAATATTTTATGCAAAATTTTATGTAAAAGTGAACTTTTCTGTAAGTCCGGTCCATGGCTTTCAAAAAAATTTCGAGGTTGCAGAGGGTCCTATAATGCAAAAACGGTAGTTATATTTATACTATTAATTCTTTAGCTTATGCTGTTTCTTTTGTCTTCTCTATTCCCCAAGGGTAGGAATTACTCTCTCCGTGTGCAAACAGTATTTCGGGAATGTTTGTTGACTTTGATTTGTGAAAAATCAAAAGCCGTCCTAAAAGAAGGCTGAAATACCCTTACAACGAATGATAGCATTAGTTGTATTTCAGTTGATCCAGGTTTATAAAAAATAAATGGAACTACCTTTTAGAGCTACCAGTTGCACATATAAGCAAAATTTAACAACAGTCATGTTGAACGAACGAGCCATACAGGGTTGTTCAAAAACCTCCAAGTCAAAGGCCTACTTAAAACTTCCAGAGGCACAAAAACCGTAAACGTTTTACTTTCAATTCATTTTGCTTTTCCTTTACAGTCCTCCCCCCCCGTCCCCCCCCCCCCCCCCCCCCCCCCCCCCCGTCTCCCCACCTTAAACAGGCTGACCTACTTAGTGAAGGTTATGGGAAAACTTGGCAACATTTGCAACTCATAGAACAGTATCTACAGAAGCTGGAGGCAGAGTTGCGTAACAAAAGAGCTACTGGAAGCTTGGCCATACCCAAGTGCAGTGAGTACCCCGGGCCGCTCTATTTCATTTCTTAAAAGATAAGGTACAAGGCAGCGGCTACTCCCGTCTAATTTGTTGTGAAAATTGGGGGTGTTAATCTGTTGCTTCCAACTAAGCACGAGAATTAGTAAGGGACCCTCTATGAAAGGGATTCAAGCCTCGGCTCAGAGCCACTCGGGGCGAGGGCCGGCTCTCCTGCGTCTCGCCCGCAACGAATCCCCAGTGCACGGCTCCCAGAGGAGGGGGAAGCGCCCCGACGGAAGCTTTTCCTGTAGTTGAAAGGTCAGAGGCGCAGCGGGAGGCGCCACGGGAGAGGCTGCTTGCACGCCGAGCCGCTCGCGGACTCTTCCACCAGTGCCCCGCCGCCCGGCCCCGCTCCATGCACCGGACCCGCGCCGCCAGCTACGGCCTCCCCTTTCTCCAATACCCGCGCTTTCGGCCCCGCCGCTCTGGCCACTCTTCTCGCTCCCAGCCCAACCGAGCAACCTGCAGCGAAAAGTGCCAGGCGAGCCAGCCCCAACAGCCGAAGCCTGAGGCTGTGGTGTGTTTCTGGGGTGCATCGGTTGGCAGTTGGGAAGAGCAACCCCCGCCCCCGGGCCGCTTTTCTCAACACCCGCACTTCTTACCGGCTTCTTTGCCAAGTTAGGTCCTGCGCCGGGCGCGGACCTCACGGTCCCGCTGTGGCGACTACCGGGGGGGGTCCGAGAGGAGACAGTTTGGAGAAAGCTGAAGGGGGAGGGAAAACAAAAGTGGGGGCAAGCAGCTTTCTGGGTTTGTGTATTTGGGCGGGGGTCAGAGTTCGTGACCTCTCAGCTCCACGGTACACGCTCCCGTCGGCGCCTGCGCGTGAGTGGTGTGGAGAACTGGCCAGAGGAAGTCGTGACGTTCCCTGGGTGGGGGGGATGAAAGAACGGGGCCTCTCAAAATCGACTGCCCCCTAACGGCGAGGAGGGAAACTGCCCCGCCATTGCTGCGCGTCCAGGTCGGGGGCTTGTAGGAGTCGCGTGAACTTTAGCATCCTATTTCCCAAGGGTTGTTAAAGGTTTTGGGACGTTTCAAATTTGAGTAATGGTAACCTCATCAGCTTTAGGCAGTTCTGTTACTAACTTGTGGGAAACTGGGCTCTGTTACAGGCTCTTATTCTGTAACATTTATTAGAGGACTAACAAATCTGGGTGGATTCCAGTAAGATTTAAAATTCCCTTCAATAAAAAGACAAGCTGGCATAGAATCCTGTGTAGTAAGGCAAAGTTTTACTTATCAACTATTGTAAGTAAATAACTATAATTGTTAAATGGTGCAAGGATATAATCACTTAAAATATAAGATTTCTGAAGGCTGTTTTTTTGTTATTTGTTCAGCAATAGTATTCCCAAGCCTATAGGACAGTGCCTGGAGGTCAATACAAATTTGTGAATGATAGAACATCACATTCTGACAGCGACTGCCTGTGGCACTGAAGTGTGGCAGGAAGAGCTGTCCTGTGTGCAAACTACTGTGTGATGGTTTGGACTTTAAGAGAAGGGGGTCCTTAAAATTTCTTTAGTATTAATCAGTACGAGAAAAGCAGTCATGGATTAAGGCCAGAAACCCAACTGAGGAAAAACAAAGGTGCACTGAGAAGGAGAACAAGTCCTCTGTCATTTCCTTCTGGAACTAGGCAGCCAGACACAGAAAAAGGAAATACAACAATCCCTAACAAACAGAAATGTAAATTTATGACTCATTTTCTAAAAGTCCCCTTCTTCCTTTGGCATTATTTGTTCTGTTTGGTGGTTTTAAGGCAGCTCCTCAGCTCTTCCTCCCTCCACCCCCTAAATCCTTAAGACTGTCTCAAATGTGAAAGCTAAGAAAGCAAACTATAGGTCCAACAGAGAAAGGCAATCTGAGACCTTGTCTCTATTCTCAGTGCATAATATGCATCCTTATAGTGATGCTTGTGGTTACCCCTTATTATCCAATTAATTAATATAAGCTACAATAAGTTGACTTATTAAAAAGTGGAAGTAGAAGCCATTTGGGGAATACCATTTGTGGGTGAAGAAGAGCATCCCTTAATTATGCTTCAGGAAAACTGGTCAGTGTAGTTCATCTTTAAATGTGACTCTTAAAAAACAATTATGGTTTAAAAGATATCATCACACCAAAAGTAGATAAATTTATTTTGTATAAATATAATACATATTAACATTATTTACAATGCTAACATTTGATTTATAAAGGATCTATTATCTCTATATGGACAGGAAGGTACAGACTTACCACTTTAAGTAAAAAGTTTCTAGAAATTCACAAATCATTTAAAAAACAATAGCATTTCAAAATTGGTTCTTAAGATGCTATGACCAACATATAAAAGGCAGCCCCCCCCCTTTTAAACCTCCTCCCTCAACCAAAAATAAAAAGGAATTTGATATATTGAGGCTTTTTGAAAATTTACTACCACCTTTATCTTAAAAAAAAATTATTCATCTCTCTTATTAAAGGGGGAGAAAGTTTTAGGTAATAAGATTTTCCTTTAGAAAATAACATTCAAAAGTGGTATAGGCTCCTGAGTGATATTTGTGTATTAGGACACTAAAAAAAAAAAAAAAAATCAAACGTGATCCATTAGAAGTAATTTAATTTACCAAGCAAATACCAAGCATCAGTGCATGAGAGGCACCCTGCCACATGCTGAGGGAAATGCTCAAATGAACAAGATACAGTTGCTGTTCTCAAAGACCGGATGTGATTAGTACCATAAGAAAGACTGTTTTAAGATCTAAGGGCTATATGACAGCATAGAGAAAGGAGAGACTAGATCTAGTCTGAAGAAAGAGGGGAGAAGGAATAGGGAAAAGAAGGACAAGGGTCAACTTCACAGAGAAGTCTTGGATAAACAGGCAGAAATGGGGGTGGAGAAGAGGGTGAAGAGAGAAAGGTGGGGTGAGTGTTAGTGGGAGTGTGTGATATCTGAGGAAAAGGGTTCCATGCCAAGCCACTGGGAAGCCAGTGAAAGCTGAAGAGCAGTGATGAAACTAGAGCTATGCTATAGTCTGAAGGCTGGACACGGGTTTGTGCAAACTTAGACGGGGTGTCCAGCCTTTTGGTGTCTCTGGGCCACACTGGAAGAAGAGCGTTGTCTTGGGCCACATGTTAAATACACAAACACTAATGAAAACTGATGAACAAAAACAACAAAAAAAGGTTTTAAGTAAATTTATGATGTGTGCTGGGCCACATTCATGGCCATCCTGGGCTGCATGTGGCCCACGGTCCATAGGTTGGACACCCCTGCATGGCTCTGGCAGTGTTTAAAATGGGACCATGCAAGGAAGGCACTGCAATTGGGAGAAGAGTTACTTCAATCATTGGGACTTGACCAGGGTCTATGCAACACCAGAAGGGCAGTGACAGGGTACAAGAGCAATTGCAGTGCGCTCTGTTGAGACTTGGAGTCCGACTAGAGAGCCTAGAATGGTGTTTTTCTATTACTGAAGAAAATAAACAGATTGAAAAGAAAGCTGAATTTTAGTGATGTAAAGTTTAAAATACTTACGGACCCATGTGTAGGTGTCCAAGTAGTTGCAAATGTTACCTCGCATGATGGTGTAATGAGTAGGTCTAAGGGCTGGGTTGAAAGGAGGGCATTTTGGGGGCTGTGTTTGAGATGTAGATGACAAGAATCCTGTCATTGTAGAAGAAACTTATTCAAACAATATTCAACAAATACTATCTCTTAAAAGACACAAGGTAGGTATTTTGTGAGAAACTGACATATTAGACATAGCATCTGCTTTCAAGGAACGTATAATATAAGAAAAATAGGATTTACTTCTGGAAATCCCAGTGACTACATTTGACTACACTGTGCCTCAGACTTCAAAGACAATACAATGAAAGCACATTCCAAGACATATGAACATATGCTGTGTTAACATTTACATTTTAACTAAATTACTAAATACCAGGCTTTCCCTATTTCTGAATATATTCTACCAACCAAATACAAAGTACACATTTGGCTAACAAAACTACACTTTAAAGTTGTCTTCTTCACTTAGTTGTTTCATTGCATCTTTATATTAAACAAAGTTGCTCTGCTGATCTCATTTTTAGGAAACGCTACTACATACTCAATGAATCAGGCTTTTGGTTAAAGAGAGAATTAAGAACCTTGGGCAAAAGACAATAGAAGGGTATCGGGTACATTAGGGAACGGGCACAAAGGTCGGAGAGAGGCTCAGAAACATGAGATGACGTCCAAGATAACCAATCTCCTCTCGTTTTCCTATGGCTCTGGTGAGCCCTCTGCATTTACAGCAGCCACAGGACAAGGAGAAACACTGGCTGGGGACACACACTAAGAATGTCAGCCTTCCCTAGTTTAACCTGGCGTCCTGGTTACTTTCAGAATCCTTTTGGGCTTAGCTTTGTAGCTGCTATTCTTTCTTCTTATGAATAAAAGAAGATACTTGAAAAGAGTTTGACTGAAGAAGCACATGTATCAGTGTAATAATTCTCAGGATCTAGGTACCAGCCCTCGTTTTATCCTCATTTATAGAATGTACCCAATGTATCATTTTTCTCTAAACTGTTAGCTATCAAGAGATATTTTCAAAGTAGCTTTACAACAAAATGTCTAATTAGGTTTTTTGGTGGACATTGAATTAGCCAGCTTAAATAAATAATTGATCAGCTTTAGTAAATTATGAGGATTGATAAGAGGGAAAAGGAATGTGATACTATTCCACATTTGAAACATCTTTATGGGGAGGAGGGTTGTAATCTGATACCTTCCTCAAAAGGCTATATTTTATGTTTTTCAAAACCCTCCATGGGGCTAAGCCAATAGCTAGTACAATCATGTGAGTTTCATATATAATTAGGAGAATTACTAGAAGTTTGTGCAACTTCTTATATTTAGATTTATAACTAGTTCTTGATTTGGCCAGCTGCTGAAAGATAGAATAGCCTGCCTGATATTTTTTAAGATTCTGAGGTTTAAAACAAACCTTGTAGCCAGAAAGCTGAGAGCTTAAGAAGAGGGGGGAAGAATTCCAAACAACTTATTGTTCTGCAAAGTGTTAGGTCCAATGAAGCAGAAGGAAATACTTCATAAGGCATCATACTGGTATCCAAAACAGACATACTAAAAACTGCAGAGATTTTAACATGGGAGCCTTACTTATGCTATCTTGATTAAAATTAATGAGCTGCAAAGTATTGGTTTACCCACAGTAGCAGAAAGACGGGGGACATAGCATGTGAGGACGGTGTGTGAAGTTGCAACAGGGTTTAAAATGATTCCGTAGCAAGCAACAGCCGGAAAAAACTACAGCAGCTAACTCTAGATCTAACAGGGACGGTGGTGCTGCAATAACAATCGTTCAGAAGGCTTCGGCAAGGCACTCAGTAATGCTCTTGGCAGTCATAAATATCACAGTGAATTAGGAAATCCTTTATGTAAAAAGAAAGGAAAATTCTTGTGCCCTTTAATGAAACATTATATGAAAAACCTTGCCTTTCAGGATAATTTACATTTAGCTTAAGCTCAGTCAATAAATGTTATTGTGAAAATCAGGAATGACTTGAACCATAGCATTAATTTCATTTTTCTTCTGCAAATCACTATTATTTACAAAGTAGTTCCTATGTTAAACAGTAAGTGCACCGGAATTATGAATATAAATTTTTCCCAATGAAGTGCACTGACAGCTAGTTAAAAAAATAACAGACTTTTAAAAATTTACCAGGGAGGATATAACACAAAGTGGTAGTAAAAAACCTTTAAAAAAAAACAAAAACAATTTCAGTTAATACTGGCTTAGAATTTGTGCTTTTTTGATATGGTAATTCCAGTTCATTTTTAAAAGCACAATATTATAAGAAATATTACATCCTTTTTAGACATAAATACCACTATTGACTTGGGCTCAGAACACTTATAATAGCAAGGGACATTATGTAATATAATGCTTCCCATATTTGGCTTTTTTAAAAAACAACACCCTTATATTTGTGTTGAACTGGTAGCATTTTAAAAGAAGATTAGATTTAATTATTGTAAAGGCTATAGAATTAATTATTTGTGTTCCTCTGCAAATCAAAATATCTTCTTTCCTACTTATATACAGTTAAATAAAAATTCAGATTCTATCTCTCTGCTCTACTTCCTTGACGATGTAACATTATGATGTGAGGTACATCATAGTAGACATACTAGAGATAATTGACTAGAATTTCATTTCACAGTTACTGAGGTAGAAGTTGGCCATGTGTTTTTCATTAAAAAATACAAAAATTCATCTTAGTTTACTGATGTAAAGACATGCATTTTTATCATAAGCAGTTTTATAATCATAATTTCTAAACCAAACATTGTATGAAACTTGCTCCTTAATGTGTCTTTTTTTAATTTACAAGGACTTTCTGCTAGTGAGAATGTTATTGCAATGTAACACTGTAAAATACATTGAAAAAACAGTGTGGACTATGTCATAAACAGTTAAAACAGCATACAGTATTAAGATACATTTTCTGGTTTCTAAAGAAAAGTTACTTTAGAATTCAGTGTGAATTTCAGAAAATAATTCTGACTTAGGTAAACATCAAAAATTTTAATAAATAACATACATAAAAAACATACATTTAAAAAATTCCCTTATACCTAACAAAATAATTTCTTATATTTGATGAAGATTTTGGTTGGATTTATCTTGGCAGTGTTGATTCGTATTAAATTTTTGTACTTTACTCCATTCTGATGATATTCCACCCTTTTGGAATCACAGAAAAGATGAAACCAGTACTGCTACAATATCGTGCCTTCCTGAAATGCTTCTATCCACCTATTAATAAGAGAAATTTGTTAGATTTGTAAAATGCAATTATCCAATATGTGTTATGTTAATGTAGATAATAGCTGTGCCTATGAATCTAGTTACCCTAACAGCATATTTAAGATCTTTCTAATAGCAAACTAGAATTCTGTGTATATGGAATTCTGTATATTTGGTAATTCGGCCAAAATGTTGGCCTGTAAAATGCTTCTCATTTCTATGAGGCATGAGGAAGGGGCCATTTCATGTAAAAACTCTATGAAGTCCTGATGATCCTCTTTAATTGGTTTTGAAAATGGATATAGCTGCAAAGGCCTTTATTTGAACCCCCTTTCTGTTCTGTCCCTGTCTCTTTCTTCCATAACCAAAGATTCCTTGGGGCATCCATAATCTAGACCTGCTCTTAAAATTTTCAAAGAAAGGGAATCTAACATCTAGTCTACCAGTGATCAAAATTCTGCCTGCAATAGAAAAGTGTCTCAGTTTCGGAGAAGTCTTTCCTAAATCCTTTAGTCACCAAGTTTTATCTGACAATACACACAGCTGCAATTATCCAGAGGACCCTTGGAGGTTGTGTCTTAGTACCTCCCTAGTAGTATAATTGCTTATGAACTTGCTAGGAACATGTGAAATCACTCACTTTAAATAGTAAAAACAGCATATGAGAGAGAATTAGTTCTAATTTCAAGGACAGAGTTTTCAAAAATTTAAATTTTAAATGAAAATGGCATATGTTATACCACAAAAAGACCTCTTAAAAAGCCAAAAATTTCCATTGAAGTGAACACATTTTACTATTCTGTGATGTGCAAAAAAAGCAAACCATATGATATTAATACTTTCAAAGAGAAACTCATAATTTAGCCTGTATTAATTCTAAATTACAAGTAAGCTGATTCCCTTCACCTAACTACATTCAATTCTGTCTTTTTTCCCCTGATTTTTATATTTTGATTTTATATTTTTTCAATTCTGTCCTGATGTCATTTCTATCTTGTCAATTTAAAGATATAAGCAAAATATGTATATTCAAAAGCAGTAATTTTTGTCAGGTTGGTGATGAATACAGATTAAAATGACGAGAAATATAATTTCTAACAAAATATTAGGGCAACTATTTAAGTAATTTTTATAGAAAAAGTAGCTAAATGGCACAATTTTAAAATATATTCAGTATACAAAGGGAATTATTTGGAGTAACAGCTACTCACAGCTGGATACCCTAACAAACTTGGGGCAAAAGAAGTCTTATAGAGTATTTGTAACATTAAACCTGATTAATTTTCAGAACATATATAATTCTGGTACATTAATTCTTAATTGCCTTAAGAAAATAACAAGCCTTGCTACTTAAAGCATCCATTTATATCTGCCTGCACTTTTTGAGTCTTCAGAAAACATGAGCACCTCTTAGTGAAAACAAAAATGTGTATCTTCTGAGGTCAAAATAAAAATCAAATGAAAAAGAGGTGAACTGAACTGTTTTGTTCAGAAAGGACCCTGATTTCACAGAGTTATGCTTCTTTATATTCAGCAACCTCATGATATCTAAATATTCTTTTTGGAATTTTGAAGAGGCTGTTTCAGCCTTCAGCAACTAAAATATCTATTTTGATATAAAATGAAATGAAATGGAATAAAATAAAATAAAATCTATTCCCTTCTACTCAGTCATTGGGAACAGCATGAGAGTCTCTTAATGTGTTTGACCTTTTCCCCAAAGACGTTAGCAAGCAGCTGTTTAAACTCCTGCTGTTCCCCGGCACAATGGAATCATTGGACTGCCAAGTCCTGGAATGTTTCAAGAGAAGATTCTTACCCTGATTGAAGGAAAGGTCAAATACCTCAGCTTTCCTTCCTCTCAGCAGAGCAGCATCATGCTGCTTCCTCAGAGGTTGTGTGTACACAAAATATTTGGGACAGAACCACCTATTTTCTTTCCCCCCTGCCTCCTGAAAATATTCCAGACACTCTTGCCTCTCTTTAGAAACAATTCTAAAGAGTTTGAATAATATCTTAAATCCTTCTAATTTGGATCCTGATTTGAATTCTCAGTTGTTCCCATGCTTGAGAGTAGGTTATCTTACTATCCATCATTTAAAGTAACAACTCAAACTTTCACGTGTAAAAGAAAAATGTCTAAATTACTTACTTCTGAGCTGAGTGAGCATCATCTGCTTTGAATACATAAAATACCATGTTTTTGTGCAGTAACTGAAATACTCTAGACTCTGAATTCTCATCTTTGACTTGAGTGACAGTGAATCCTAGTAAAGGCTGACTCTCCAAAGCTGCCACATCCTAATTTAAAAAGACAGAGAGGGTGGTGATTTTTAAAACTGATACAAAATTCAGATGTGCAAACTCCTGATATATACAACTCTAATTTCATTTTATATACATGCATGTGATTAATTCTAGCAACTTATTCAGTTTTCCTTTATTCAACAATATTTATTGATCCACCCACTCCCACCTACTTTAGGAGCCAGACACTGTGCTAGATGATTTTCAATGGGTTCACGAACATTGAATTTTACGTATTTCCCTACAACCACAGGAGGTAGGTAATTGTATTACTTTCACTTTATGAATGCAGAAAGCATAGCTTAGAAAAGCGCTGATTCACCCCCATCCTGCTAAGGAAAAGCTTGGACCTTAGGGCAGCGGTTTTCATAGATGTTGGAACACATGGTAATCAGACAGGAGAGAACGGCAGTATTAGAGCAAACAGTCAGAAACTGTGTATAACCCAAAGGCAGTCTAGATGATCCGTGCTGATGCCTGATCAACATAATCTGGAGGTGGTCAAAGGGGTGTGATCCAACGGAGCTTGGCAGAAAGGATAAGAACCTCTGCCTTCAGTGAGGTAGACAGTCACGTGACACAAAAGTAAACTTACATTTTTAATACTATGGAAAATTCCTAATATTTTTTAGTACGAGCCCTTTAGACAAAACAAAGACCTTGTTCACATAAAAAATAACAGCAACATCTCCCCCTCCCAAAGCAAAGCAAAACAAAAAAGTAAAACAAATAGATTAAACAAGCACTATAATTTTTTCCAGTTTCCATTATAAAACAAGTCCCCCAATTTATGCATCATTAGATTCCAGATCTTACCTCGCTTGCAGCGTATGTGTATAGCACTTTATTTTTTATGACAAACCACAAGTGCTTCCAAGGTTTTTTATTGCCCTTTGATCTATACAAATAGCCACTCATAGAAGAATCTTCAGTGTTTGCTGATACCTAGGAAGCAAACCCATACATAGTTTAATGGTGTTCAGACCAAAAAATTTAAAATAATAAAATTGCCTTTGATAATTGGTTCTGAAAGCAATAACCATAATAATGTTTAGAAAAGAAACTGCTTATTTTTAAAGTCTGCTACTGTACAAATGGAACACTTGCCATTACCGTGAGGATAAAAACCCTTCTTAGAAGCAGTTTTGGAAGTCTACCTGGTTTGCACATATGTGTTTCTTAGTGGGTCTGCCTGTGTTTTCTGGGTTGTCAGAAGAAAAGTAATTCCAAAGGCCAAAAAGGCTTTTTTAAAGCTCCATTTTGGGGACTGTATATGTTGTTTATTGCTTTCCTTATTCTGGTAATTAGGGAAAATTACATAAAACTTTAACCCTGTCCCTGAAATAACAACAACAAAAAACTACACCAACAGAAAAATAAATAGAAAATTCTACGATTAATGGTGATTTTAAGGATCAGTTTCTGCTCCCCAAATTTTGGTCTAAAAGACAAGAAGCTTGTTTTACTTCATAAAAGGCGAAAAATGTTTTAATCTCTAAGCAAAGTAGTAAGCTTTTAGTGATTATAATTTGGCAGCTGAAACGTTTCTCTCTCTCGTTAATACATGAACAATAGAGATATAAAAAGCTAAGTTTAGGAATTGCCTTATTAGTGGGATGGCAAACAGACTCTTAAGTGGCTCCTCATGACCCCTGCCTCTGAAAGTCACTCTGTTGTACAATTTCCTCGCCTTGAATGCGGGCAGGACCTGTGACTTGCTCCGAACCAACAGTATATGGTGGAGGTAACGGATGTCACTACCCTGGTTGTTACATTATATAAGACTTCATCTTGCTAGTAGAGAGCTCTAGAGATTATCTTCTGTTCCGGCTTTGAAGAAGTAAGAAGCCATCTAGGGAGGCCCATGTGGCAAGGAGCTGAGGGCAACCTCTAGTAAAGCAAATAAGAAGCCATGGCCCTCAGTCTTAAAACTGCATGGAAATGAATTCTGCCAACAACCTGAGTGAGGATGGAATGAAACCCTTCCCTAGTCAGCCTCCCGGTGAGAGCTCCACAATGGCCCACCCTATGACTGTGGCCCTGCAGGGACCCCAGCTAAGCTAAGCCTGGACTCCTGAGATGGTAAATGTGTGTTGTTTTCACATAGTAATCAAGCAAGAGAATACAATTAAAACTCTACTGGCCACAAAACTAGCACCAGTGGAACTAGTTAATAAACTAATCGAAACGGGAGTTGCCAGAAAGGCAGTACTGTCTGATCTCTGACTTGGCTGACTGAACACCTGATTTTGACAGACTGGGATATGATAGCAGTGATGCCTATTACCACTGTTTACGTTTTCTTTTAAGTATGAAGGAAAAACAACCTACTATTAGTGACATCAGCTGTATATAAGCAACTAATGCCTACAAATAACAGTGCAGATCAGTAAATGTTTATAAGAGGCCCCAAATATTCTGCAGAGTTCTTCCCTCTGCTAAGGGTCTGTTCAAAGTAATTTTAAAAATTCACGTGTTCAAGTTATCTTTACTTTCTGTCATTGCTATGAAATGCTCTGCAAACCTTCTGGCAGCCATTTTATAAATGACTCAGGTCGTATGGGAGTGAGCAAGATAGTGAGGCATCAGCCACACCTCATCACCAGAATTAAAATGCACGTCTTAACAGTAGTGAGAGATGACGTCTTCCTTTATGAATGAAAAACAGTCTATTATATGAGTATGAATAATTCAGCCTCTATCAGGTTGCAGGTTTAATGGAAACACTCACTTCTTTGAGAGCAGCTGGGATTTTTTTCTGTTTCCTCCCTGATGGAATACTTTGTAAGACTGATGATAAGGCACTTGAAGATTTGTGATTTCCGGGAGATCCAATCTTAGGAGAGTGCTGGCGATCTAAAAGAAATCAGGTGCACTTATATAGCTAATGGTAATCATTCTGCAATTCAATTTAATTCAGATCAATAAACAGGGCATAAAATATCTATGGAAGGATATGCAAGAAACTTATGCCACTGATGGGAACAGAAGACTGGTGGCCAGAAGTTGAGTGGGAGGAAAATTTTCCACTCTCTATGATATTATACTTTTTCAACACTAAACCATGTGAAAGGATTATTTTTGTGCCTTTAGAATTCTGAAATGTTACTATACCACCAACTTAGAGGAAAATTTAAAAACTTCACTCCTCACTTAAAAAAAAAAAAAATCTAACATCATTTAGTGTCTAGATACCTGACCAAGTAATAGAACAATGAACAAAGTGCTAGAAAAGGGGTTATAAGACAAGACAAGCAAGCAATTAATTTTGACTGCACAGGTCCAGGAAAAGCTTGGAAGAGAATGAGATGTTTGAGTTGGCCATTAAGGTGTACATGAGAGTTTGCCAAGCAAAAAAAGAGGAGGAAGACAGCTCTATGAAGAGAGGTCAGCATAAGCAAAAACAGAGATGAAATTAGATCATCTATTTGGAGAATAATGAGTCTGGGAATAAAAAGCTGGTTCTAAGGAACCCGGACTATTGTTTAGGCAGTGGGAAATCAAAGACCTTTTAGGCTGGAGAATGACATGAGCAGATTGAATTTAGAAAAATAAATCTGGCAGTAGGAAGGAGAAAGGATTTGCAGCAAGAAAACCTGTTAGAAAATTATTACAGTAGTCCAGATGAAAGATAATGAAGGCCTTGTTATGAGATGAAGAAATCAAGAGAAAGACAGGTTTTCAGAGACAAGTTTGACAAAATTTACCGACCAAATGGGTGTGGGTGATGAGGGAGGAGGATTCAAAAATGAATTTTGAATGTTTGCAGCCTATATTATATACCCAGAAAACAAATGGAGGAACATAAAGGTTGGCAAAGGATTAATGAGATGAATATGTCTTCTTGGAAAATATGTACACAGACAATAACAAACTCAATATACAGATTCTGAAACAGTATGTCATCTAGTTTTATTCACTTAGATAGTCTCATGTGTTGATGAAAAGCTATTCATGGAAATGAAAGATGACCTTTTTAAAATTTAGAACCTACAGGTTTCAGGAATTGAACTATAGATGTCTCTCCCAAATATAGACCTGAACAGTCCTGCTAGTTGCATTTACCTTGACTGCAGGGATGGATACCTGTGGATAACGAGTAAGCCAATGTGATTTATCATTTTGTATTTAGCGAAAAGCCACACATTTCGATGTACAAGAAAACCTCACTAAATCAGTCCAAGCGATCAAAATTAGGCTAACAAAGTGACACCCAGTATATTTCCATAGGGACTGACTTAACAGGTAGATAAAAATGACTTGTAATGGGCAGTTGTGAAACTAGGGACTTCAAAATTACTTGAAAGTTAAGGTTCCCTTGTAAGTGTTTTAGGCATTTCACCCTATAATTATATTTCTATAATTAGTATTCTTAGCAAAACTGCTTTCAGAATTAAAAATAAACTCCAGTCCAACCTCTCTTGGAAACCCCTAAATATTTGTTAAGAGACCTACACTAAGAAAGCAGTAAGCTCAATATTTTGAGATCACCAATCATACTGCTAATGTGTCTAAGATGATTCTTTCAGAAGGCTGTTTGAAAGCATCTGGGAAACAAAGGAATTGTGGGTTAAGTCTTTACTTATATATTACCTAATTTCTGCAGTTCTTGGAAACAATGTTCACATACTCTTGCTGGTTGATTTTTCAGGTAATCTAAGCCATACTTATTTGATGAACAAGCTTGGCATACAATCTGAAAATACATTGGAATTATTTAATTTAGAATAATTTTTGTATCCAAACCATCAGGTATTTCACTCTTTATAAGTGCTGTCTACTTTTTAAAACCTTTGTATAGTCATTGAATCTCAACAACAACTCCGTGGAGTTCAGGCATGCAATGAACTCACACACAATACCCCACTTGAAGACACGGAGGCCACAGATTATTACTGAATGTTTACTACAAAAAAATAATATACTGAATAGTTAATCTGTGCAAAATGTTTGAACAGTGCCTAGAGCTCAATACATCCTGTGTTAACGGTATTATCATCATTATCATTGTTGTCATTGTCATCATCGCTGTCGTAACCATGACCACCTCTGCTACACCTTCCCAGGTGCCTAGCCCTATATTGAATGCACCCTAAATAAGACCTCATTTAATGTTTATAGTAACTCGCTGATGTCATTGTTACTATGTGCATCTTACTAATGAGGTCATGAAGACTTAGAAACATCACTAGTGGTAACTTCAATACTGAAAGTTCCCCCTATTAAATACAGCAGGTCATTGAATAATGTCATTTCATTATAACCTTGATGTGATACCACAGAAACTTAACTCTGGCTTATATCCGTTAGCTTACAGTAAAATTGGTTTCATTGTAAGTCATTCACTTACTGTGCAGAACCTATCGACGATGAAGTAAAGACTATACTAAGTATCTAGATAAATGCAGTTTAAATAATTATCTATATGCGAGGGTCTACTTATTTGTGAATTTGTAAGTTTTTTTAAAATAAAAATTGTCTATTATTGACAATATAAAATAACCTTGATGGAGGAGGAAATAAGTTCCCTAACAAGACTGTCCCATGCCGAAATATTGAAAGAAAATACCATCCATGATTCAGTATCTTTCCCCGGACACAATGGCGTAAAAGGGGAAATAAACTCCCTCACTATCTACAGGCTGGAGCTATTAAAAGACCACAATGGAGACGGGGGTTATCCTCGCCAACCTTTCCGCAGGCCCTGCAGTGGTGCCGCCTCCAGGTCAGGGTAAATTCACTTGTGCAGATCATACACATTGTGGCTCTGGTGTCAGGAATCCAGATTGGAGCCTTCGATCCAAGGGGACTAACGTCCTCTTTATTTTCTGAGTCGGCCTGTGGAAGAATGACTTCTGGTTATCTCCTGCACACTGCCGCAGACTCAAGCCTTTTGTTTAGCAGTGGTGGCTCACAATGCTGATGGTATCATTAAAGGGTACGGGCTGAACTACAGGGTTATTTTATTTTTTCATGTTCTCAGGATATTAAGATTAGCTATATTCTAACAATCCTCTAATACAAAATTAACTTTAAAAGATGCCTGTAGTAGTGCGATGACAGCTGATTAGTTTCCTTAAACTATACTTTCTAAATGTTATACAATGAAGTTTTATAACTAGAAAAAAATACGAATATGCTACATGCTATCATGGACCTGCAGTGAGACATTAAAAAGGTAACAGTTTAGCTCTGAGATTACGCACAGACCTCCAATTCTTCTGTGAAATCCATGTTGCTTTTCTAAATCCCTGGGAAAGGTTTCTTTAAGACAAAAAGGAAAATGCATTAAGGAAAAAGAAGAAGGAAAAGACAATACCTCATCAAGACTCCTGCTAGGACAGAATGTGATTCTTTTCTTGGCATACTCTTCTATTGACCTGGAAATCGCTTCTAGCCATTCATCCCTTTCTGTGGCAGAACTGTTGGGGGCAAAAGAAGGTTCCATCAACCAGATGTCAGCTTTTATTCTTTGCATTTTTCTTACTTCTTTTCCTTCTCCCATGGCAACAGATTCCACCACCCTCCAACAATGCTGGTCACAGGCAGCAACTCTGAGGTTTATGTGCACAAATAATCAGAGCAGGCATTATAGAACACATGGCGCTTTAGCAAATTCAATGCCTTTTGCCTTTCCAAAAGTACTGTTTACACTGAATGACTTTTGAAGTCTCCTAACTTTGGAGGTATTTCTGTTTGGTTTTACAAGCTAGTCACACACTTAATAATTATGATTATTTCTATAACCAAGGAGTTTCCTAGAATTTAAAAATATTCCGAAGAACCAAGTTTCAAACTCAAATTTGTATCATAGAATACTAAATAATAGTCAATATTTTTAGATTAGTAACTACTACAAAAATTTTCTAGAAAGGGCAGTGGGTTAAGGAAACATTTTTGTCACCATAAAGAGATGTTTAAGGAGTGGTTAATAAGGGAAATAGCCTAGAGTTGTTAGGGTGCCTCTACCCGGAACCAGGTCATCACATTCTTTGCTCCTACCCTCAGTTCTTCAGGAGCTATGATTCAAATCTAGATGGAAATGGACCAAACGGGGAGAGCCTATGCAAAGAAAAGCATTCTTATTCTGCTTTCGTACACCTTCTCCCCACCAAAACGCAGGTAATTTCAGATTATCACTGGCATCAGTACATTGCATTTTGCATACCCCAGAGTGAGAGGCACATTTTAGGGTGTGTGTTTGTAGAGATAAAGAGAGAATTTAATAATACGTTTAAAACTCTATCATAAAATCCATCATAACAGTCGGAATGTGATTGTGTAAGACTGTGTATTTTTCTTAGAGAGGCATACTGAGGGACGTAGGAGTGAAATGACCTGACATCTGCAATTTGTTTTAAAATATTTTAGAAAATAGGAAAACTTGTGCAGAATCTTCTTGACAATTTTTGAGTCTGGGTGACAAATATGTGGTTTCGTTATAGTACTTACTCTAATTTTAAGTATATTTGAACTTTTACTCAAAAATATTTTATTAATAAAAGTTGATATTAAAAAAATAGAAAAACTTATGTCACACTGAGTGAGATATTGAAAACGTGGATGGTTGTGGTTTTTAACTCTCAAATGGTATTTTTAAAAAGAAAAATTCTACAAAAAATAATGGTGTGAATAGGCATATTTTGTATTTCAATGAACTTAGAGCAGGTCAAGGAGATACTAGATACTAAGAAACCACTGATTTCCCCCCCAATAATCCTTCTTAAGTTACCGTATTTTGCCATGTATAACGTGCTCCTGGGTATAATGTGCACCCACACTTTCAATCCAAACTTTTGAAAAAAATTTTGTTTTAATTTTTTAATTCAATTATTCATTTATTTATATTTAGATACTTCTTTTTTGTATTATAAGAGATACTACATTGCATACGGATATTGTTATTCTTTCTAGAGTTATACTTTTAACACATAAGCATAAATAAAATAATTAAAAATATTTATATAAATATGGAATTAGTACTATTTATGTATAATGTGCATCCTTACTTTTCCCTCAACAATTTGGGCAAAAACATATACATTATACATGGCAAAATATGGTACGTGCCACTTAGGATTTGCACTCATATGGCTATTAAAAGGTAGACATCCAGTTTACAAATAAAAATTTTAAACTAGTATATTTCTCAAATTTTTATTATATACCAATAATAAATAAAACAGAAGCAGTCCCCATCTCTCCAAACCAAACAAAACCTGCCTCAGCTACCTCTACTATTTGACCATCACTGTCTCAACCAGCTGACATTTATTTAACAGTTACTACATGTCAGTTAACTGTGTCAAGTGCCTTGCAAATGTCATATCTCTTCCTCAGGGCTACTCCATGGAATATATATTGGATTTTACACATATCCCCATCCCAACTTCACCATCTACCATCTCCATTTACGGATAAGGAAACTGAGGATATGAAAGGTTAGATAATTTGCTTTAAATAACAGACTACACTAAAATAAGTAAGTATCAGACCCAAATGCGGCTAAAGGTTGAACCCTTCACCACAGTGTCATCTCTGGCCTCTGTTCATGTTTTCTGAAGAACTGCACTCTAAAAACACATGCTCAGATTTCCAAGCAAACATTCTTAAAATATTACCATTCCTCCCTCTGTCCCTGCCTCCCCACTTTTTCACTGGAAGAAGTAACAGCAACAGAGAGGCAGATGGCTAATTTGAGAATTGCCGTCTGATTTTTCTGGAGCCCTGAGAGCATATGGAATGTGGTTCCACTGTGCAAATCATGTCACATATGCTGTTCTTTCATTTAATCACTCCTGGCTCTCTCTCGTGTGGGTTCCTGCCAAAACAATGTTTACCAGCTCTTAAAAACACATATCTCACAGACCACACACATTTGCCACAGCATCAAGTAGAGACATTCTAGCTCTCTTTTTGTAACATGGTTAGCGGAAGAATCAGAATCTTCTTCCTTGGATCAAAAAACAGTTAAACCAAGCATTCTTTTCTTTATGGAATGTGCACATTACCAGAATGCAAATTTATATTTCAAAAGTACCATTTTCCCATTGATTAGGATAAATTTCCAAGGGGAAAAACACTCCCCAACAGAAGGATTTCTGGTGTTTTAGACCTTGTTACACCATTTACTACTTGTGTTAACTGTACATGCTACTCTGAGGTCGAAAGGCCACATTGCTTCAGTTCAATTCATTTGAGTAACATTTCCTGGGAGCCCACTAAGAGCTAGCTACTAAGCCATGAACTGCACACAAAATACACCTCATTTGTAAGGGCTTACATGTAATTAAGGGGAGACACAGAAACAAGTAATTACCACATAATAAAATAAATGTAAGGTAGATAAGTAACACAGAAATTATAAATTACCTTCTGTAGGTAGCAGGGAGGGCTTTGCAGAGGTGATGACTAAGATAGGATTGGAAGAATTATAGGAGTTGGAGAGGGAATGCTTTAGTTTCTCTGTGCGCCTGCATTCAGTGTCCTAGCTTTGCTTATCACCTCTAAGCTGATGATTCCCAGATACAAGCCTCCAGTCCGGCTTCCTTCTGACATTCAGATCCTTACATAAATTATTTCCTTGATGGCTCCACTTTGATGACTCATAGGCCCCTCACATTCACTATGCACATCTGAAACTAAATTCCTGATCTCTCCCCTAAAGCTACTCCTCTCCCAATGTTCCCTTTTACGGCAAATGGCATCACAACTCAATACAATGGACGAGCTGAAGCTCACTCTCAGTGCCTCTCTCATCCTCATGTCCAGTGAGCCACCGCCATTAGCTCCCCTCCCAAACCATTCTCCACACAGCAACCAGATACTCCTTTAAAAATGCCGGTCTGGTCACATCATTCCCTTGTAAAAACCTTTCAGTGGTTTCCTGTGGCTTCCAGGCCAAAGACCAAAATCCACAAGATGCTTCTGCAAAATCTTTCTCCCTGTCCCTCCAGGCTTATTCTGGGTCACATTTCCTCTCATTCTCCGTTCATGCCACACTGGCCTTTCAGTTCTTTGACTATGCCATGCTCCTTTCCACCTTAGGGCCTTTGCACGCACTGTTCCTAATGACCAGGAGCCTCTTCCGTTCCTCTTTCCTACCTCACTCACTTTTATTTATCCTTCATAATCAAATACACACAGGGTTCTTTAGCGAAGCTAAACCTGACAGCCCATTCTCTGCCAAATCTAGTTCAAGGCCCCTTGCTTTGCAGTCTCATATCTACTGGTAGTTTTCTTGTGTATTACTTAAATTACAATAACTGATTTTGTTGATATTTGATAAGTGTGTGTCTTCCCTAATGACCTATAAACTTGGGGGAGAAAGGCCTTTGTAATTCTCCACTGTATCCCCAATGCCTGGTCCAGGGCAGAGAACAAAGTGATGGATCCCAGGAGGAGGTAGCCACCTGTGCAGGGCAGACGGATGTGAAGTAGGCTGGCGTGCATAGAAAATCATAAGCAGATCCATGCTGGTGGAATGTGCCAGAGTTTCGTAGGGGTGGGTACAGGAATAGTGAATGGAGATCAGACTGGTGAGGCAAACAAGGACCAGATCACATGAGGCCCTCTTACCCTTTTTCCATGTTACACAGTACCTGCCTATTGTGGTCAGGGGGATTCAGGAGGTGTTCATTTCCCTTCCCCCATGCCACCCTAATCCTCTCTTGGAGATTTATTTTTCCTTTATCAAGAACTTTTCACTTTTTATCATTTCTCCTGCATGTCCCACATTTAATCCATCAGCAATCCTATTAGCCCTACCTGAGGCTGACCGCTTCTTATCACTTTTGATCAAGACGCCATCACCTACAGCCTCTTACCTGGTCTCCCAGCTTCTACTCTAGTCTCCAGTGGTCTATCTTCTACAAAGCAACCAGTGTGCTCTTTTAAAAATAGAAATTAAAGCAGATCAATTCTTAGCTTAAAACCCTCAGATGGTTTACCCTCACACTTAAAAATCCCAATGACTATCCTAAAGTCTAGGAGACCTATTTGGAAAAACATGGATCTAGACATTTACCTAATTAGAAACCTAAGAAAGAAAGAAAGATGTAGTATCATTTCCTAAGTGTTTAATCTTTAATGAAATAGAATTTTGTTTTTAACAAAGCACATTTTTTAAGTTAGGAAACTTAAGTGCAATTAAAAACTTGACTTTCCTCTAGGTGTTTCCTCTTGGGAACTTTGAAAATAACTTTTCTGATTTTAAGAACTAAGCTGAAGTATCTGCAAAGGGCCTGATGCACAGGGACTTGATGTTCTTTGCACTTTTGTTCAGACTCAGAAAGAAGGACAGAAGGTAACAGCTCTGGCTGGGAGCTGGGGAGAATTTGATAAGGCCTGAAAACGGTATTTTTCATCCTCTGTCTTCCTGAGATCTGGTGTCAGGCAGCGGAGGCCATTCCATCTGAGAAAAGCAACATGGCCCGGGGAGCCAGCTGCCCTGGTGGTCCTCTGATTTGGGTCTGAGTCTCTGACATCCATGGACATTGGCAAAATTATTACGGTTAAAAGCATTAATTTAGTGTCAGATATACCTAAGTTCAAATTTCAGCTCCACTGCTTACTAGTTGACTAAATTGGACATGTTTTCAGCCTCCATTTTTCTCATATGGAAGGTCAGAACACCTATTCCACTGGTTATCACAGAAATTAAAAGAGAAAATAAATATGAAATGTTTAGTATCATGCCTGATGCAGAGAAATTATTGGTTCTAGTTATGATTCTAGCTGCTACAAAGACTCTAGTTGATTTTAGTGGTGTGGACATGGCTGTAAGCAGGCTGCCTGCATCCAAATCCTAGCCTAGATAACTTAATAGCAGGGTGGCTTTTTTCACCATTAAATGGGTGTAATAGTGAAAGCTTACCTTGGAAGGTCATTGAGAAGATTCGATAAATTAATACACAGAAAGTGCTTAGGATAGTCCCTGGCACAAAGTAAATGCTACAAAAATATTTGCTACTATTTTTATAACATCAAAGGTTTGGGTCTCAGGGTCGCACAGACACACTACCCAGGTCCAGTGGCATGGCATGCTATGGCTGCTGTCTGTCCCTTCACTTGTCAAATCCTGCTAGACACCCACTTCTGCCACTTGGCCAATAACTCCATAACATATGTTTATGACTCACAGCCTCAGGGGTTTTTTTTAGGACTTTATTTATGTTAAAGTATTATAGCTTGATTTATATATGTAAGTCACTGCAAGTTCTAGTTTAAAGCAATGTGGTATAAAAACAACAGATTTAAAAACAAAAAATCTTCTATTTGTATCATGACTTTGCCAGCTATATAGCCTTAAGAGAGCAACTCAATTTTTCTGTAACTTAATCTTCCTCATTTTTAACGAGATGACACCTACCTCATAGATTTATGTCCTTTCAATGTTGTAAAAAGGTTTGAAACATTCATTTAAAAAAATGTTTAGCAAAGCATTTTTCAGCATTAGTATTCTATTCAGAAGAACATTTTTATCTTTGTGCGTCTAGCACATGATTGCATTAGCTCTCAGACATTTTATCTCCATGTTAAACCAAGAGAGAACTGCATGGTGTTCAGGAAGAAAAGCAGTGGAGAAAGTTAAGTCTAGTTGTTAACCTAAATGTAAAAAAAAAAAAAAAATGCTGGAGATGGCTGACCCTATCAATACTGGCAAATGCCCATCTAAACATAGTTTTTTAGTTTACCTGGCTGAGAGAATGAAGGAACGTTCTACACTCTCAATCTTTAGTTCATTCTGATACGCTTCTTGAGTGGGTTTTTTGACCTGGAAGAAAGCAAAACAATTTGAGCAAACTCATCCTACTGCAAATCTCATCTCTGGAGCATAGCTGCTCAGTGTCCCAGCTGCTGACATCCACCAGCAACCCGCATTCCTAGCTTCATCTACCACTGCTCTCCCTCATCTATTCTCTGCGACAGATGAATTTAAATACCTACATACACATAGGCCCAACTTTCTGACCTTCAGGCCTTTGCTCACTATTTCCTCTACCGGGAATGCCTCTCGCCACATCTCAGCGTGGCCAAATGTGACCTATTTTGGCTCTTCCTCCAAAAAGACTTCCTCAATTCTCCTCCCTAGCTGCCATCAATCCCTCCACCACATCCCACCAAACGCTGCACATTCTCTATTTTCTGAACTCCCAACCAAAAACTTTAACTGGGCCTTTCAGTGATATTTATTGCTGTCTATTTTATAAGTGTTTATGCATAGTGTATTATCTTCCCTACTAGTTGCTAAGCTCCTGGGAAGACTAGTGTAGGGGTGGAGACAAAAGGGATTATGCTTCCTTTTGTCTTTATATTTTCTACCACACCTAATGCCATGTTATTTATAGTAGTTCTCAACAAATATCTTATTATAAATAAATTAATGTATGAGTGAGCAAATGATAACAAGTGAATCAATGAACACATGAACAGTAATACACGAAGAAAAAGTTAAAGATGATTATCTTAGGGATTTTTTTTCTAAATATATTTAGGTTAAAAAAATATCTAACAGATGCACAGACCTTCATTCCTGCCAATGAGAGCATGTTGTTCAGTTTATACATCCCAGACTGCAATGGTGTTGTATACAAGAGGGCATCATTAAACTGAAAGTAGAAATATTTCATAGGATAAATTAAAGGAACAAATTTCAGCTACAAAGTTGTAAGACACAAGAATAAAAGAAGAATATTACTTCTTTATTAAAAGCTCTCTGAATGAATACTTACGTTCTGCTTATAGACACAAGAACCATCCAGAATGTTTTATTAAAACATTATTTTAAAGGAAATTTCTGAATAAATGCGCTTTCTTTCCAAGTTTTGTAGACAGATGTAATGGTTTCTGAATTCCAAATCCCACTAAGGAATTAAAATCTGCCTAAGTAAATAACTGATCAAATCAGTTTTTCTTACAAATTAAAAATGAAATATACTAAATTCAAAAAGAAAATAATTTTCTGGTTATGCATCTTTGTCTCCTATAGTTGAAATGCAAACAAGCAATGCAGTCAAAGATCCCACTGAAACTGCTCTTTGAATGTGCTTATGTACAAATGTCTCCTTTTATTAAGCAGCTATGCCTGCCTGGGGCTCGTCAGAAACACACATGGCCACTTACCAGGAAAAACACTCGGGGCTGCATGTCTTTTCGAGACAGCTTCATCAGCGTTCCTTCTTTGAGAAAAACCTGATTCATCCAAACACATACCCATTTAGTACTACCATCATAACACAACAGCAATATACATATAATTTCCTTTTCAACTTTCCTTCCCATTTTTGTTTTCCTTTGGGGGCTGGGTGGACATAGTTTCCTTGTGACTTTTTAAAGTCATGTTTCTTTTTAAACCCTGTATGTCATTTAGGAATTGGACAAGGCTGCAGTTTCATAAATCTAATACTGGCCCCAGGGGTACTATGTGATCTGAAATGTAATTGACGCGGCATGTACTTTATCCTGAGGCATAGCCAACATCCTGACAATTGCATTTTGCAATTTTCCTGAATTTATTCCCTAGGCCATTTTTGTGCTCTATTAGTAACATCAAAATATCAATTTTCTCCTTCCCTTCATAATCCTCTCTTACATGACAAATTTTAATGAAATTGTCTTTAAAGTTGTAAGAGGTCAGCCAGCATTATACAATAAAATGATCCTATTTAATCAGATACTCTGTAGGGACCCTTGCCATTCTCCTAATTGAATCAGACTTCTTGCCATGGTGACTTAGATCATGAATGTTTTGAATGGATAGAATGAACTTAGTTGATCCAGACTGGGTAAATGATGAGTAACAATAATAAATAACGTTTTTGCACAATGTAAATGAAAAATAGCTATAAACTATGCCTAAAATCATTATATTAAATGTGCAAAAGGCAGTCTAAAACACTTACCCGTCCAGGCTGCACTATTTCATGGTGTCCATTTAAGCTGTACTGAATTTGCATAAGTTTTTGGAAGTTGTCCTACAGAAAGACAATGCAGAGCATATGAAGGCTCTGACTCCTAGGTTCAATAGTACAACAGCCACTGAAATTAGTTACTTACTCCTTGCTTCATGGTGTCATTGGCGTGGTTGGCTACCTCTATAACAACTGCAAGGGCATCTAAAATATGTAGGAACAGAAGGGGTATTTGGTCATTACCAATGAATTGCAACATTGAGCAATTTCAGGTGATGAGATTGCTAGTTCACAGCAACCAACCACTGGAGGATGTCGGTTAACTGTGAGCAGAAATATGGATGATGAGGTTCATTGAGGGCATGAAACAGGCAACATACAGTACTTATGAAAAAACTGAGCCAAAGAATGTCTAAAGAGACATTACAGACAATGTGTATCAATGTATGAATGTCAGGGTTGTTTGGTGCTGAGATTTGATTACCCTGTTGAAGTTTACGAGGATTAAGATAGGATTTCAACTGGAAGCTAAGGACCATTCCGGTATCAACTGTCTTGGGGAGAGAAGGATGCTGGTTTATAAAACCAGAACTACTGGGTTGGCCAAAAAAATCCACATGATTTTTTCCATAAAATAAAAGACACATTTTTCATTTTCAGCAATAACTTGATTGCCTTGGATATTTTGAGTATGTCAGCTATCTCCCATGTGGCATAATGTTACTTGTTCTCAATTAATGTCTTGATTTGATCACTATCAACTTCAACTGGTCCACCTGACTGGAGAGCATTGTCCAACGAGAAATCTCCAGCATGAAACTTCGCAAACCACTTTTGACACATCTGATCAGTCCCAGCACCTTCTCCATATACTACAAACTCTTCTTTTGCATTTCAGTTGCGTTTATCTTTTTTAAAATAATAAAGCATACTATGCTGCAAATGTTGCGTATTTTCTTCTATCTTCAATATTAAAAAGGCTACACAAAAATTCACCAATTTTAATAAGTTTTTTTTTAATGCACACTGATATGACAGCTGTCACAATGCAACCTAACAAAATTATTTCAAATGACATTGAAGACAACTAAATGCTACTAGAGCCATCTGATGGGAAAAAAAACCAACAAAAATTTTGGTCAACCCAATACAACAAATAACAGTGTAAGGGGGTCAGGACTCAGATGCCTTCTCTTAGTCTGATCCCAAGAGGGAAGAAATGTCACGTGAAAACATACTAGGCCTTTGGAAATTCCATGCATTATTTTGTAAGCTGGGTTATTTAGCTTCATCTGTATTTTATTTTTTTTATTGATCCCTTGTGTTTAGCACAGTGTTTTTGAATGCTCCAGTCTTATTATCTTTTAACTAGCTATAAAAAAAAACCAACTTGAACTTCTGCCTCCTTTGGGCTACAGTTGTTCTTAACCCAAGACAGTTGTGTTCCCCAAGGGACATGTGGACATGTGCAAAGACAGTTTTTGGTTGTCACATGACTGGGAAGGTCCTCTGGCCTTTAGTGGGTAGGAGCCAAGGATGCTAAACATCCTGTAATACTAACTAGAAACCCACACAAAGGTTATCCCGTACAATACGACAGTAGCACTCCCACTGAGAAAAACTGGTAGTGTTAAAGAGGGAACATGCCCTCCTGAGGCTGGTATGGCAATGACAGTAATCATCAACAAAAGGATAAAAAAAAAAAAGTCCTGACTGGTGTGGCTCAGTTGCTTGGGTATTGTCCTGCAAACCAAAAGGTCACTGGTTTGATTCTCAGTCAGGGCACATGTCTAGGATGCTGGTTCTGTCCCTGGTTAGGGTGTGTGTGAGAGGCAACCAATGGATGCCTCTCTTTCTTTCTCTCTTTCTTTCTCACATGGATGTTTCTTTCCCTGTCTTTCTCTCTCCCTTCCCTTCTCTCTAAAAATTAATAAATAAAATCTTAAAAACAAGACAAAAACAAAACATCAATTTCTGGACAGGGATTGAAGGGTTTGGTCCAGCAACTATAACCTACCAAGAGATTCTCTTTCTGGTACTGATTTTGGAGGCTTCTATATTCTTTAAATATAAAGGTATTACTATCATCATTATTAAAGAAAAGCAGTATTTCCTTATAGAGACCCCAATCATATATCGGAATGTAGTGCACCTGGCACTCCTCATGACAGATATTCAAGAGGTGACCCTGGGCACATTGCCTGCTTTCTGGCCTGCCTGAACTCCAAGTGGGCAGGGAGAGAAGCTTTTGGATGAGATGATAAAGCTGCTGCTGTTTGGTCACCTAAATTCCAAATTCTGCATTCTCCCATCCATTCTCTAATTCTACTCCCCCCATGTCTTCCCTTTTAGAGACCCTTGCGACTCTGTTGCTTTAACTCCTCTGCCTTCCTTCTAAAGCTGTGTTTGTCTCATTTTCCCTCACACTTGGGCAATCTCTCTTACACCTGCTCACCATTTTACTGCCGTGCCTCTGGCCACACAGAGCCCTTACTGTTTATTGCTTATTCTAAATAAGTTTTTGCTGAAGTATGCAATTTCCTTTAAACAAGCTCTTTAATCTCTGGCCCTGTACCTGTTTTACCTGTATGATGGAGTTAATAATTCACTGTCCTTGAAGGCAGAAGCCCTGGAACAGCTGTATTCTTGAGGCCCTATTTGTTAATATCTGTTTAAAATTTTTATCTTCACGAGGCAGATGCTGATCTGGAATGCCCACCCTTGCGGTCGCCTACCCTTCAGCTCATCTCCAGTCCCACTTCTCTCTACACAAAGCTCTGCTTCTTTGGTCTTCCCACTTTTCTTCCTCTTCCAAACGATTCTGTACTGTTCAGTGCATCCTAACTTTACAGCTATGTGCTTTGTTCTTTGTCTGCTGGGCAGGCTATTTTCTTCAACTAGATTATATGTTCACCAAAGACCAGAAACATGTCATATCCCCCACTCCAAACTTTTCCTTAAACGAAACAAAACAAAACAAAACAAAACAAAACTTTAAAAGGATACACTTGCAAACAGATGTTAGAGAAATAGAAGTAAAATAAGAGAATGAATAAGAATCTCTGCAAAATGGGTTAAAAAATCTGTTCAGTTTTGTAATCTGAAAATGTAAAGAATGCACAAGAATAAGAGGAAAATTCATAAAACGAATGGGATGGGCATGGACTTGTTTAATGTGTTTCTGCATATTACAACAAGAGATACACCTATGACATTTGAAAGAGGTAGTAAGGGGATAAACAGGAAAAAAAACACCACTATCCTGAACAGAAGTAATCTTTGAGTTTGTGTGTGAAAGAGAGAAACACACACACACACACTAGATTATCCCATGAATAAATACACACACAGTACATTATTTCATGAATATCAATGAGTCCCCTATATTGTAATAGACTATTCCCCGTAAGTACCACTGGGCATGAGGGATGGAGGGCGGTAAGGCTAATGCCTATCATTAAACAGTCCCAGAACAATACACTATTTTTAACTGTTATCCTTGATTTGTTTAGTTCGGCCACTTCACAGACTCATGATTTTAAAGCTTAAAAGGACCCCACAGATTAACTGGTTCAATCCCTGCTTTGAAAGCAGCGGCTATCTAGAGAGGGTGAACTTACATCCGGCAAGGGGGACAGAGCACAGGAGGATGAAGCTCCCTGACCCAGGCCATGGGGGTCCACTCTCCCAGGAGGCTGGCTCTGTTGGCCGACTGACCTTGTGCTGTTCTTGTCCCTATAATATTACCTGCATCCAGCTCCACTGTACCACTTTATCTAGCTCTATTTTAATCTGCCCAAAATAGTGTTATTTTTAAAAAGGCTTCTTATAAATAAAACAGAGTTTTGTTATATTTTTAATTTCTAGGTCCAAATAAACATAATATAAAAACTTCTGGAACATATAAGACCACAAAATTTATTTACCTTGAGTGTCTTTGTAATCTTCAGAATCTTCTAAAAGATTTTTCAGATAATCTAGAAATTGAAAAAAAGTGATAGTACTTAGTACAATAAAGCAGAAAGGAGAAAAACACTTGTCTTTTTTATTCAATACTTCAGTCATTCTTGTTGGTTAATATACTACATGGTATTCAATATGTGCTGTCTTAAAATAGGAAAGAATAAAGCCCTGAGATCAGTTTGAAATCAGGACACAGAATCAGAGCTGAAAAGAGCCTTAGAGGTCACGCTGGTCATGTTAGAGATGAGGAATCAGGTTACTGAGTACAGGGTCTCACCTAAGTCACACAACTTTTTTGTGGCAGAGTCAGGACTAGAATTCAGGTCTCTCGATGCCTAGTTCGGGTCTTTTCCTCCAATGCACATGAACTACTCTAATCTCAAGATCAGATGTATGTCTAGCACAAAATTCCAAGCATTAACAGATTGAATGCCTAAGAAACTCTTAGGCTTGTCAATCTAAGAGTCTAATAACATGGGAACACCAGAGAAATGCAATACACTAAACTCTCAAATGGGGGTGAATGTGCTTCCTAGGGGTCATTTGGAAATATTTGGAGATATTTCTGATTGTCAAAACTGGGGGAAGAGAGGCTACAGGCATCTACTGATTAGAGGCCAGCAATGCTGCTCAACATCCTACAAATGCACAGGGCAGCCCTACAGCAAAGAATGACCTGATCCAAAATGTCAATAGGACTGAGGTTGAGAAACCTGATCTAGATGGTCTATAAATGAGCTATCTGGTAATACAGTGGTTCTTCTAATATGTAAAAAAAGGAAGGTAATAGGTTATGGTTAGTAAATCTTTAACACAAAGGAATGTACCACATTTTGCCTTGTATAATGTGCATCCATGTTTTTGGCCCAAGTTTTCAGGAAAAAGAAATCTTTCATTTTAATTTTTTCTTTTTAAAGATTTTACTTATTTTTTTAGAGAGGGGAAGAAAGAAAGAGAGGGAGAGAAACATCAATGTGTGGTTGCCTCTTGTGCACCACCTACTGGGGACCTGGCCTGCAACCCAGGCATGTGCCCTGACTGGGAATCGAACCAGCAACCCTTTGGTTCACAGACCTGCACTCAATTCCCTAAGCCACACCAGCCAGGGCTAATTTTAATTTTTTAATTCAATTATTTATTTATATTTAAATGCTTATTTTTGTATTATAAAGGAATTTTAGCATTTTGAACATATTATGGTACAAGATATTTTATGTAACAAATAATTACAAAACACAAGAACAGATACAAGGCATTTCAGCCACTACCCATGTATAATGCACACTCTTATTTTTCCCTCAAAAATTTGGGCAAAAGTGTATCATACATGGCAAAATACGGTAATATGATTTCAAGGTAATACTTTCTTCGCTGTTGAGAAATGTTGGATGGCTTCCCATTTCCTATCAAATTAAAACAAGTTCCATTCCCTGGAATTTAAAGTCCCCTGCTACATGGTCCCTATTGACTCTCTGATTTTCTCTCTTGCTACTGCCTAACACAGGCCCTTTGTTCTTAACAAAGTTTGATTCTGCACAATTCCTTAAACATTTCCCATGTGTTCTCTGGCTCCATATTCTTTGTCTCTAATGTTCCCCTGTTTTCTGAATCCTTCCTGTTTCTGCATAAAAAAATTCTCCTCATATTCTTCTAGGCTCATCTCAAATTCCTCCTATCCTACCAAACTTTCCATTAAAAAAAATAAAATTCTCTTCCTTTGAATAATACATTACACAACACTTACTCATTTTATGCCTTCTATCATTTCTGTTTTCATTTGACTCAAAGCTCCTTGTGGGCAGGACTCAAATCTGATTCATCTTTCTACCTCTCATAGCACTTAGTCAGGGCCTTTACATACAAGGGACAAGAAATGTTTAGAATAAAAAAAAAATTTAAAAAAGATTGTTTTCAGACAGAATTGTGTCTTAGTTTAGGTAAACAGCAATAAAGGTTGAAACCAATACTAATGACAATGAGAGTTAAGAAAATGAAAAAAGAAAAGGTGTGTTAAGAGACTGAACGCATTTTTATCAGGCTTAATGTCCATTAACAATATTTTGGAATATATAATTTCATCCCATGGATTTATGAAATCATGCTGAAAGGAACAAAGGGAAACTTGAGTGTTAGTGCCAGCTTCTCAAACTTAATACATGACATAAACACACACGCCCAAGAGCCGAAAGTCAGTACATCCAAAAACCTGTGTCTAGACATGCATATTATAAATATCCAGCACTGGCAGGAAGCCACGGTGAGATACTATGTATGACGACATTAAGCTTCCATGCACCACGGTACAAGTTCTGTCTTGGCAGAAACCATCACTAGCAATTTAGATCTTAAAGTAATCCAAACACAGAAGTTTGAGAGTATGCATCTAACCAAACAGATAAGAAAACCACAAAAATTAACAAAATCCATTGATTATATATTACACTTAGCTCTACCTGGAGGTGAAAATTAACTGAATCTCACTCTGATTCCATTCAGAAGGCATTCCATATACAAGCCATGTTTGGTGAGTCTAAATATTTAACTTTTCCATGAGAGTGACAGGGTTGGGAAAAAATTTAATTGTCTTCTTAGATGTCCTCAATGTCTAGGTTAGTTCCCTTATTTATCAAAAGTGATATCCCTTAAAGCCTCTAGGTAACTGGAGAGTGTGGAAATGAAAACAGATTTACCTCAATGTCAGATTCATGGTAAGTTCCTATTTTGGCTTCAATGCTTGTTCTTTAATACAGAACTGGGGCATTTCTCTAAACCAAGAGAGCTTACTGGAAGGTGTCTGTATTAGGAAATCCTGACCTCAGAATCACTGTGCTGAGCTTGATATGCTTCTGAGTTGCACTTTCTTCCCTTGTACTCAAGCTCAGCTGCTATCGGCCAGCCTGAACTTTCAGGAATAGAGTGGAAACACAGAAATCAGCTGAAGAGAACACCCACCACTAAGATGTTACAAAATCATGCTATTAATGAAGGAAGTAATGGAGTTAGGTTTACTGTCTTTGTCAATTAAGAGAAAAAACCTTAAAATTCAGCTTTCAAAATTTAATGTTCCAAAATTTTATTTTAGAACTTCAATTTTCCAACATGTTTTTAGTGCATCTTGTTGCAGTACATCCTTGTGGAAACTTACACATTTTCGAGGAAGACAAGACCTTGATCCTCCCCCTCTACCCAACCGCGAGTTAAGGTAAGAATCACTCAGTGCCTTAACTACAGAATGAAAGGAACAGGATTGATCACCCTGAGTCAGATGGGAGGAGCACTGAAACCGCCAGCTGCCCCAGTGACTGTTACAACCCAGGAAAGGAGACCAGACAGACGTCCCTGTGTTGGTCACAGGGAGTTGTTTACTACGTACCATTTAGGACCTAGTACCCTAGAGGAAGTTTCATTTTTAAAAAATGAGAGCAGAGCAGTCAAGTCAATTTGCCAGATTACAGTTGCGGTATTCTATGACTTTCCTGGTTCTGCCAACCAAACTAAGCATTTTTCAAAACTTTGCTAATAAAAATGCTTCAAATGCTAGTGAGGTTATTTCTATCATAAAGAAAAAGGCGGGGCGGGGGGTGCAGCTTGTGTGGGCACTACAAAATGTACTTTCTGGCCACCAGGTGGCACCATTGATTAACAGACGTTAATTAACCCCCTACAGCTACCCTGTACAGCCTCCAGGAATATGCAAGTTAAATTCTGCAGCCCAGAGCGAAAACCTGAGGACCCCCAAAATACTGTATCTTGTTAGAGGTCTAAGTTTTCTATAAAAGGGCTCCTACTAAGCCTCACCACCCCTGATTACACAATCAACAATAATTGACTTAAAGATGAAAGCTATTCAGAAGTACAGTTAACCTTCCCTAAAAATGAGTCATTTGTGGGAATCTGGGACTTTTTAATTCAACCATAGCCAGTCAGATGCCTGGACTGTGTGCTGAGAAATGGCGATGGGTAAGCATATAGAAGGGGTAACATTCCAAAGTCAATTGTTTTGAATTTAAGGACATGTCTTGCTTTGTATTATTTAGATTTCTTCCTCCCTCCCTAAATATTTAATGATATCAGCAACACACACATAATTATAAGATCCAAAGATCTGAAAAGTCTAGTCATAAGCCTGTCTGACAAAGTTTCCAATTTTATTTATTTTTTATTTTTCCCAGTGATATCTGGCAAGCCTAAAGCCACCACAAAACGCTGACTCTGGACAGAACTTACCACTCGCTATTACAAACTGACTCCCTCTAGAATCCCACAAGCCAGACTAGAAAGGGATAACTGTCTGCTGACGTTTCAAATTTTAAAAGAAGGAATTTATAATTATCTGACTTGTGAAATGAAGTACTGATTATCTTAAATACCCAAAATAAAGATGAGCTGTCAAGCTGTAAGACATACTGCCATGTTCCAGGCAGCTTGGTGAAGAGATCAAGAGCCATTGCTGGAAGTGAGAAGACAGGTTTTACTCTTAGTCCAACCATGTCTAGTAAAGGCATGTGACTTCGGGCATGCTCTGCCCTGTAGCATTTTGTGTCAGAATCCTCATACACAAAATAAGTACGATGGACCAGGTCAAAAAACTGTAAGGATTCTCCTTCTGAAGTCCCATGAAGCATATTGTTTAATAAATTCTAAGATGCATTATAGGAGATTTGGAAAATTAACTAATGGAGAAAACTCAAACCATGAACATCTCTAAAATATTATAATTTAAAAGCATTTCTTCCTGTTTTTATAAATGCTTGATTTTACGCAATTTTAATAATATATATGATTTGATAGCCCACTTAAAGTATTCTAAACTATACAGATTTTCCCTGTATGAGTAGCTGAATAAACATACCATCATTGGAACATATTAAACAGTACTTAGGTATTCTACTATTAGACTTTTAATTCATTTTTAAATTGTCCTGTTTTGGCTGCCTTAAATAGATGGCCATACATCCTAATGTACTAAAAAAAGGGAGAGAAGTTTTTAGCACTTCCTTGCCCATAATGATTCTGATGTAAACCTGTTGTGCAGGCATAACTATAAATAGCACCCCCTTGTACTCTTGAAAGGTAACATGTTTGAATAGTAAGTTGTGTGATTTTAATTGCAAGTAACACTGATCAATTATTTCCTCAATTTCAATGGAAAAAAAGTTCTTTTTAGTACTTGACATAGCATGAGAAACCTTTCCTAAAGGGAGATAACAATTTAAAATATTATAAACCTATGAGAATAATTGTTTTACTAATTGATTGCCAGTTTTGTATGTTGTAGATTTTTATTGCTAATATAGAATGGGGAACTGGTAACTCATTTTAATTAACATGCACAATTCAGAGGATACTAGACATGCCACTGTGTGTGTATGTATATTTTCTCTAAGTGAATTTTTTGTTCACATTTTTAATCCTGATTCCATAGGAGTTTTAACATTTTTAGTGAAATAGTAATATATTTTCTATTGTACTGCTTATCTTTTCATTTTGACCATATTATAAATGTTTATGTTTTTATTTAAAATAGTTGAAAGGCGTCAATGTTCTCCTTTTTCCTTCCTTTCTTTCCCTCCCTCCCTCCCTCCCTCTCTTCCTTCCTTCCTGGCTTAGAAACCCATTTCCCCTCTAGCTATCCTTTAATAAACGATCATGTTTATCTTCTCCCGATTTTCCTATAGTTTAATGTTTTATATTTAGTGTTTTTTTTTAAATGAAGGCTTTATTTTTCTAGAGCAGTTTTACAATCACAGAAAAATTTATGGGAAGGTACAGAGATTTTCTATGTAGCCCCTGCTCTCAAATGTCCATAGCTTCTTCCATTATCAACAGTCCCCACATACCAGAGGGGTACATTTATTACAAATTGATGAACTTCCATCATTATCACCCAGAGTCCATTTTTTATAAAAAGATTTTATTTATTTAATTTTAGAGAGGGGAAGGGAGGGAGAAAGAGAGGGAGAGAAACATCAATGTGTGGCTGCATCTTGCACACCCACTGCTGGGAACCCAGCCTGCAACCCAGGCATGTGCCCTACACTGGGAATCGAACCAGACCCTTTGATTCGCAGGCCGGCACTCAGTACACTGAGCCACACCAGCCAGAGCGGGAGTCCATAGTTTACGTTACGGTCCACTCTTGGTGCTGTACATTCTACAGGTCTGGATGGATATATATATATATATATATGACACATATCCATCATTATGGTATCATACATAGTATTTTTACTGCCCTAAAAATCCTCTGTGCTCTGCCTATTTATATTTAATTTTCATTTTGTTTTTAGTGTATCTATTGATATATATAGCTCTTAGTTATTCAAATTTTAAAAGGTTATTCAATAAACAATTCTTATTCTCCTATTATCTTACATTTTCTACTTTATCACACGTTAGATTCTTATAAACAACAGGTCTATTTTCAGTACCTCCCTATCCCAATGATAGAATAATTATTTCTATTTTTTTAATCAATAGGTGTATTCATGCAATGGTATCATGTATCTTTAGTTGTTTAAGTTTTAGAATTAATATTGACTGATGTTTCCCTCCCAGAATATTCTTTAATAATGTATTCTATTTATTTCTACATACAAACCTATTTTGATATATGTCTATAAAATCCCAAAATTCTAAGCAAACTTAAAAAGAATGTGGACCATAAGCAATGTGTTAGAAGCTAAGTTAATAGTTCTATAGTGTTAAGTATCATTTTATGCACAAATGCTGAAGTGTGCGTTTCATGAAGGCGAGGAGCCTGAAATAATTATCCTATATCGCCAGCACCTAGAACAAGGTCTGGTGCATATTCAATGTTTCCCGAGTTTATGATGGACTAACTGACACTCCCATTAGTGTTACCACTTTTTGCTTTGTATTTTACTAAGCACTTGAGATGATATTTTGAGGGTCTAATTAAAAAGCCTTCTGGCCCTTGCTCTAACTCACTTGCTCCTTTAATATTAGTTCAATTCTGCTCCCTAAATATGTGGCGCAGGGCCTACTCTTGCACGTATGGGGCTTGTCTAAGTTAGAAAAGTGACCCTTCTGGGCTCTCGGGCTCACAGATTTATGGCTAGGAATGCAAGAGGTGCCTTTCTGTGAATTAGAAAAGGCCATTTGTCCTGGGCTGATGCAGACCCTCACCGGGGCACGCAATGTGGTGAGCAGCATGCATGCTGAACTTGCGCCTCAGCAGGAGGGTGCAACCATACGAGGCATCCCTGGTCCACCCTCGACTTTGATAAATCTGGTCCTGAGGGGCATGCCTAAAGGGCCCCAGAACTAAACCTGACTCCAGGATCATTCCACGGCAAAGTTTAGGAGCAGTTCTTCCAATCGACAGAATCTCTCCTTGGTCCCTTTTTCGCAGAACATACTAGCTAGGCATATCCAGAATGCCCCTGGAGGAGTCAAAACCATAGGAAATCTTCCAATAAAAGTAAATGTTCATTATTTTGAATTGGTTGAAACAAGTGCTTTTCTTTGTGGATGCATTTCCCAATGGTTAGGGCTGCCAGTTAAGTGAGAACCTCAAAAGCACAGAAATGACCTTGGCATAGTCAAACCTCACTTAAAGAAGCTCTTAACCATATTTAGTCCCCACTCCCCTGCTTATCAAAAGAGAACAAATTTAGGCCTAGGGAGATTAGTCTACTTTACTACCCAAAGAACAACCAAGGGAAGAATAAAGTAAATTTAAGCACCAAGGTGAATTCAAACTTGACCAAATTTCAGTTTTACATCCAACTGGAACAGTTCTGATGTGAGCCATGATTCTGAGAAATACTAAGAGGGAAACTCCAGCAAGAGTCAGATTGTTAGATTTTTGGCAAAGTAAGTTCCAGCAATAAAGGCATCTGGCTATTTGCAGGGAAACTGGGTCAAATCTATACCGAAAATTGAAAAAAGAATGGCTTTGTAGTAATGTCTATGGGCAGAATTCAGGGGATCTGCAAACTTGGATGGGCAAAAACAAATATTTTCATTGCCCTCTAAGTGAAATACAGAATTTATTTCCATTATGAATATAGAGAACAAACCATAGTATTATCAATGATACCAGTGACTCTGTCACCATAAAAACCACATTTTTTAAATATCACATTACAGTTGTTGTGGACATCTCAAAATATTTACTTTCACCATTACTTCAAAATCAGGACAGTTATTAGATCCACCACCAGGTCTTCTTATTTATTGGATACTAAAGAAGCACATGTAATAAATACTAAGTCACACTTCAAAATTATTTTAATAAATTCATTTCAGCACAATTAGTTTCCTTTTAATCTTATATATTTTATTCTATAATTTTTAAAATTATTCTGAGAAGAGGTCCACTCATAGGCTTCATCATATTGCCAGAGGGATCCAGGCCAAAAAAAAAGAATAATAACCCCTGTTCTATAAAGAAAGTGAGATTACATTTAAGAGCTATAATTTAATTGAACAGGCAGATAAACCATCTTGCGTCCTATATCCTAATAAAATCTTTTCATAGTATTAAAATCATGGATATAATTTGTTACATACCATCTCTCAAAATAACTTGTTCACAACTACAATTAAAAATTAATTGCAATAGAACAAGAGCTGAGGTCATTACAACAAGAATTCTGAATATTATCACCCTCTTATTTTATACACAGGAAACTACCTTATTCCAGGGCCTTTGGGTTCCTCAGAAACTCAGTTCCTTGGCTAATGTTCAGGGCAACCCCCACTTTCATCAAGTTCTGCCCTCAAGAAATTGTTAGAAGACCTCTGATACGAACAATTAGCCCTGGGTTTTAAAACAAATACTTGCCCAGCAGAAGTTTTGTTTTTCAGTAAGGCTTTTTTTTAAAAGTCATGTATTAATTTAATCCTGATCTTTTTTACCAATCTGCTTATTAGCCTATTCATAGCTCAAATTCATAACTTCAGAACACTAAAACAGATGTTTTTAATATCATATTTTCTATCAACGTGGGAAATTCTAGATTTCTCAAACCTAGAGGGAGTTAATATCATCCCAGACTAAAGGCAAAGATTACAGGAAAAGTAATATAATATGTTACTGAAGTCATTCATAATATAACATAAATATTTGAACAAGATCAAAGAAACTACCTGATCCAAATTTAATCAAAGTTCAAAGGAGTGTTTTCTTCCTAAACATCTAAGTGGAAAAGATATTTCAGAGGAATTTTTAAATTATATTTTTATTATATTTTTTCCACCATGATCCTCACTGATTCAACCTGTTTCAACACCAGTGCGGTAACTTTCCACAAATCAAAGTGTTTTTAT